ATTAGCTAGGCATATTTCTGACAACATTAAACAAGAATAAAAAGAGAGTTGTGTGCAAATAAAATATAAAACAAAAAATGGAAAATAAATAGAGACACACTGGATATTAAAAAAAATAATAAAAGAAGGTTCTCATTTGGGCCTGGAAGTAGTGAAAGAATTTGTGTACATATTTTAAAACCGTGGAGCCGTGGTGGCACAGTGATTAAGAGCTTGGCTGCTAACCAAAATGTCAGCAGTTTGAATCCACCAGCCGAGTCTTGGAAACACTTGGGGCAGTTCTACTCTGTCCTATAGGGTTGCTGTGAGTCGGAATCAACTCGACGGCAATGAGTGGGTTTAATGGGTTTAAAACTATCATATATACTAACAAAAAGAGTATATATTAAACCCTTTGGAATGGTTGCTTATGATGGGAGAGAATAATGGGAATGGGATAAAAGGGAATAGATGGAACAAACAAAGGAAGGAAGGAAAATTAATTAGAGGCCCTGTGTGTACCAAAGATGACAATGTGCTATGAATTGAGGTGTATTTTAATTCTCTGCATCTGGCTTTAAAAAAAAATTGTGTGTGTCTGTCTTTTCAGTCTCCTTTCTATATATTCACATAAGCACATAAACCTTTACGTGTTCATCTTTTGTTTTTTGGTGTTTTATACCTGACTGGGATCTTACACATATTGATCTACATCTAGGTTTTTTCATTTAACCACGTATCTTGGAAAGTTTTTCGTGTCAGTAAACAAAAGTCTGTCTTATTCTTTTTATTACTGCACAATATTCCATAGTATGCATATGCCAAAATGTATTTAGTCATTTCCCTATTGATGGGCATTCAGGTTGTTTTATTTATCTTTCTTTGTTCCTTTCTCTTTGGTTAGCTGGGTTTCTCTCTCACTGTAACTACATTCACTTTTGTTTCTCTGTCCTTTCTGTACTTTCTCTTTACGTACCTTTGTCTTCCCTGGAGTTCAAGATTCAAGGGCAAGGAACATGGAAAATGAATTCTGCTGCAGGGAGAGGTTGTAACTTGAGTGCAGATCAGGCTACTATGGAAGATTTGTGATTCTTTAGCCTAGCTATAACTCCCCCACACGTCTGTCAGTTTATTGTAACGTGGTGGCTTGCCTTTTGCTGTGATGCTGGAAGCTATGCCACCAGTATTTCAAATACCAGCAGGGTCACCCATGGTGGACAGGTTTCAGCTGAGCTTCCAGACTAAGACAGACTAGGAAGAAGGACCTGGTAGTCTATTACTGAAAAAATTAGCCAGGGAAAACCTTATGAATACCAGTGGAACATTTTCTGATATAGTGCTGGAAGATGAGCCCCTCAGGTTGGAAGGCACTCAAAATACGACTCGGGATCTTCATTTGCTGATGTGGCATGACTCAAAATGAGAAGAAACAGCAGCAAACATTCATTAATAATAGGAATGTGGAATGTACGAAGTATGAATCTAGGAAAATTGGAAGTCATCAAAAATGATATGGAACACCTAAAGATTAATATCCTAGGCATTAGTGAGCTAAAATGACTAGTATTGGTCATTTTGAATTGGACAATCATATTGTATACTATGCCAGGAATGACAAGTTGAAGAGGAATGGCATTGCATTCATTGTCAAAAAGAATATTTCAAGATCTATCCTGAAGTACAGCACTGTCAGTAATAAGATAATATACATATGCCTACAAGGAAGACCAGTTAATATTGCCATTATTCAAATTTAGGCACCAACCACTAACGTCAAAGATGAGAAAATTGAAGATTTTTATCACTTTCTGGAGTCTCAAATAGATCAAACATGTGATCAAGATGCACTGAGAATTACTGGTGATTGGAATGCAAAAGTCAGAGACAAAGAAGGAACAGTAGTTGGAAAATATGGCCTTTGTGATAGAAATGACACCAGAGATTGCATGATAGATTTTTGCAAGACCAATTTCTTCATGCAAATACCTTTTTTCACCAATGTAAACAGCAGCTATATATGTGGCCCTCACCATATGGAATGCTCAGGAATCAACTTGACTACTTCTGTGGAAAGAGACAATGGAAAAGTTCAATATCATCAGTCAGAACAAGGCCTGGGGCTCACTGTGGAACAGACCATCAATTGCTCCTATGCCTTTGAGTTATTGTGTTGGTGAAGAGTATTGAATATACCATGGACTGCCAGAAGAATGAACAAATCAGTCTTGGAAGAAGTACAGCCAGAATGCTCCTTAAAAGCAAGGATGGCAAGACTTCGTCTCACATACTTTGGACATGTTATCAGGAGGGACCAGTCCCTGGAGAAGGACATCA